GGCGCGAACACCTGACCTCCCACACAAATTCCACACTTTTCACCAGTTGGGCACTTCATCTTAATTAATTATTTCTGTCAAATATTATATTTATTGTATAAATATATAACAATAGGCATAAGCATAATTTATTTCACTTTTATGTGCTCCAAAATAAATGTATTACTTCCCACATGTTGGGCGAAAAATTGTGGAATCTGCTATGCTCAACAATCTTAAAGATCTTCCCATTCTATTGCAGGATATAAGAAATGGCACCAATGGTGTTCGTCCTCTTACGGGCTCAAACCTTTTGCCTCAAAGCATTTGATCCACCAAAAAGAAAAGCCAATCAGGTCACCTTTTAAGTGCAGCAGCATCTGGCAACAGAAGCCTACCTGTCAGTAATAATGGTTCCATTGTACAAAGTGGATATCTTATTAATAAGTCTTCCAAAAGTGATAGGGAAGAAGACAAGTATCAATCTTCAGAAAAACTGATAAATGTTGATATTTTTGAAAGTTCCCATTATGACATGGTCCTCCTCGAGGACGTGCAGAACACCAACTGGCTTCACAGTCTTGACGATAAGTCAGAACAAGGACTACTTTTTGATATTGGATTAGAACCTCTACAAGAACCTTTTGATCATTTATAACCTTGGAGAAGCTACACTGTTCTTTTCTAATTTTCTTTAAGATTTTGTGTTCATCTTAAAGTAGGGAAATAAAAGTGTGTTACGTCATTTGAGCATTTTGTTATTAAATTTAAATTAAACTTATCATTCTCCTGCGAAGTGAGTCATCTTTATGCCACAAAACTCAAATGATGATTTGGCGAATTGATGGTCATATTTTACCGGATGACATATCCCAAAAGCGTTGCAATCTAAACTTGGAAACTAGCTGCATTGTGGTAATTAGCTGGTTTATGTGGCATTTGGTGGATTTTGTGGGTGAAGCCTAACTTGCTGCTTCTATTCTCCGCATAGTGCCTGTATAAGTTTCTCTAATGCAATTCACAAATTGTTTCATTGCTCGTGTCAATCTTATATTCTTTGTTACTCTTCGTCATTTGATTCCTCACACCTTCAGTCAAATTTCAATTAAAAAGAGGATTTTAGGGTACTTGCATGGTATAAGTAGTCCATTGAGATTCCGGTCGGGAGTGCTCTCGGGCTTTCTTCAGGGATAGTGGAAAGGACATGGATGGAAGAGTGAGTACGAACAGCAGGCTACCTTATTTTATCACCAAATTCCCACCATTTAGTTGTGTTTACACATTGCAGGAAGCAAAGATGGAGCTCACCAAATTCTAACATTTTATTTTTTAACAGGTTGGCTGAATAGTCAAAACTTGTAGATCTATGCTGTTTAAAAAAATTCCCAATTGTTAATAGACAGCAGGGAAGCATGCAAATGTATCAGTTTCTTCTGTTTTGTCCTTTGACCAGATCTGAGTTGATTCTCAGAATATAAAAACAATTGCAATTTTTTGCGATGCATTTATAGCATGTTTCGTACAGTCAACTCAAACTTAACACAGACCAGACAAGATAATTCCTGAATTTCATTACGTGCTTTTGATCTTTATTCTATATATATTTGTTTGTTATGGCAACTTCTCTTTTTGAGTTTTGGCTTACCTTTTCTTTACTCTTCAGGTTGCCGGTAATTGTTTTTGTTTTATTGGGCCCTAAATTCCTATTGTCGTCTGCTTCACCAATTTGTCTCTTGTACCATAAATAAATACAATTATACTAAAGAAAAATTAAAACAAAAAGCGGAAGATGACATATTATCTTACCAAACCCAACAACCGAAACTTAGTCAACTCCTCAAACTTCATTATTAATGGCCGCTTTTTTCAAGTCCAAATTGGTAAGAAAATACTACTAATCTAAATCACAATCAAAAGGGGACCAGCCAGATTTATAATTTTTACACAATTATCTTTTTTTTTTTAAAGTATAACTTATTAAAAATCAACATATTTAAATTTTACATTGATAAAATTCACAAACATCATCTAAAATTTTAATTTATTAGAGACATCCTCATGAAATAAATGCAACTCGGACCATATTTTAACATTCTTGCCTAATGTAATTACGATGGATGATAGAGTATAGAAGAGTAGTATTCACTTTTGAAACAACCCCATCAAGAATACCAAATTTCTAAACCATGAAAAGTAGTTGTATCTTACGCTCACAATAATGGCGAATTTCGTAACTACTACTTGAAATCAGAGAAGACAAAAAGTGGGTTAATTGAGATTTGTGCAGAGGTCATAACAATAAGCAAGCAAATTCCGTTTGCTTGACGAACAAGCTCAAAGTCTTAAAAAAAAAGGTTCAACAAAATCTTGAATTTCACATTCTACAACTACTTTACCCTCAGATTCCAATCAACTTTTTTCTTTATTCCAGTACGAGCTAGCTACAAAAAGAGGCCAAATTACAAAAACATAATGCCGTTGGATCAGATGAACGTTGAGTTACAAAGGAATTATGTACTAGTTTTTAAGCTTCTGATCAATTCCCACCTTCAGAATTATTCAAATCACTGAAGGTACTCTCTACCTCTCTCTAAACCCATTATTTTATGTATCTGTTATTTCATGTATTTACATTTCATGTATGGATTTTCTGGTTCTGTTTATACAGTGTGGTAAATGGCAATTAGTCTGTTTTCTTGTTTTGTGGGTTCTGATAATTTGCAAGTTGTCTCCCTGCTGTCAAGAACCATGTCTGTTCATTGCATTCTTGATTCAAAGGAATGAATGATTGATAAAACTGATTCTATTTTTCTAACACAATGTGTGTGTCAATGTTAACAACAACAAACTGAGTTTTATTTCCTGTAAATTTGAGGATGACTACGTGGTTGTTTGGTTCGTTCAATTCAGTTCTCTCTTACTTATATGGTAAAATCCTAAACAACTAGATCACCAACTTAGATCTAGCAAGCTAAGGCTAAGCCACACTTATTACAGAAAATTAGCTGGGATAAATCTCAAATGGCTAACAAGTGTGGCATCTATGATGAGTGCTGCCTTCGGGAATTGGGGAAAAAGAGGAAAAGAAATTATCGCTGACAATTTCTTGATTTAGGAACTTTTAAATTTTTCATGTTAGTATCCTACAAAAATTCACTTCAGAAATTGCTCATCTTTATATGATTATATATTTGGAATTTGAGATAGTATAGTACTTACTATCATGCATACAGAATGTTGCCCCCTCTATATTCAAAGCATACGGTACCATTTCACTTTGCATTTGTTTGGGGGACAGTATTCATCCTGCCTAACAAACTTGTATCTTCAGGTAAAATCAGAGTATAGCTTACATTGGCAGCATTTATAATAAAATTGGTGTTTCTTTTAGAAGGTAGTCTGATAAGCTTTTAATCTTCCTTAGGAAGCAGCACCTAGTCTATGTATCTGCTCCATTCAATGCATTTTTGCAGTAAGTCATTTTTGAGAAGAAGTCATTATGTTTCTATTACATACTTTTGCATATATTTGTGTTTGCTGCACAGTATTGATGTGGCTCTTTCTCATATTCGTTTGGTTTTTTAATATGTATTCACATCTTTCATATAATTCGCTTCTAGGTGTACTTTTCTTGGCAGGATTCAGGAAGAAACCTTTATCAGAAGCTTTTCTCTGGTTAAAACTACAAGAAATATTCTATGGCCTCAAAAGGAGAATAGCTAATGCTGAAAACAAATTCATGACCAGTATCATTCCCAGATTAAACTAAAGAATGATGGAGTTACATTCATCTTTTTCTGTGCTATCGTTGTGCTTGTTCGTATTCCTTGTACCAACAATTATTGCAGACCTAAAGTCAGATAGAAAGGCTCTTCTTGATTTTGTTTCTGGTGTACCTCATGGACGGAGACTCAATTGGAACACTAATTCTTCAGTTTGCACATCTTGGTCTGGAGTCATTTGCAGTCCAAATGGTACTCGGGTAGTGGAGCTCCGGCTTCCTGGAATTGGACTCCTTGGTCCTGTTCCACAAAACACCTTAGGTAGGTTAGATGCACTCGAGACTCTCAGCCTCCGATCCAATCTCCTGGACGGGAATCTTCCATCTGATATTCTCTCTCTTCCTTCCCTCCGCTACGTATACCTCCAACAAAACAATTTCTCAGGTGACATACCTTCGTCTCTTTCTGGACAACTAAATGTGATTGACTTTTCCTTCAACTCTTTAGCTGGGAACATTCCAATCACAGTTCAAAATTTGACAAGTCTCAGTGTTTTGAACCTACAGAACAATTCTCTCACGGGTTCCATTCCTGATTTCGACCTTCCAATGCTTAAACAATTGAATTTAAGCAATAATCGACTGAATGGTTCAATTCCATCATCCCTCAAAGCATACCCTGCCTCCTCATTCGTAGGAAACTCTAAGTTGTGTGGGAAGCCCTTGAGTAAATGTTCTTCTATAACACCCTCGCCTTCTCCCTCTCCCTCTCCCTCTCCCTCGCCTTCTCCCTCTCCCTCTGCCCCTTCCTCTCCCTCTCCCTCTCCCTCTGCATCTCTTTCTCCTCCTGAAGCTACCTTTCCTTTATCTCCTTCTTCGTCTGTCCAGCCATTTTCACCATTGGTTCCTGAAAAGCAAAAATCCAAGAAAAAGTTGAACAAAGGGACTACAATTGCCATTGTAGCAGGTGGTTCTGCAGTGCTATTTGTCCTAGTTTTAGCGATGTTGGTATATTGCGTGAAGAAAAGGAAAACTGCTGGAGGCAGTGTACCGAATGGGAAGCCCTTACATGGAGGAAGAAGCGAGAAACCTAAGGAAGACTTCAGCAGTGGAGTCCAAGGCTCAGAAAAGAACAAATTGGCTTTCATAGAAGGCTGTTCCTACAATTTCAATCTTGAGGATTTATTGAGAGCCTCAGCTGAGGTGCTGGGTAAGGGAAGCTATGGTACAACATACAAAGCTATCTTAGAGGATGGAACAATAGTGGCTGTGAAGCGTCTCAAAGAAGTTTTTGCTGGGAAAAGAGAGTTTGAACAACAAATGAAGACTATTGGGAGGTTGGATCAACACCCAAATGTTGTTTCCCTTTGTGCTTATTACTACTCCAAGGATGAGAAACTCCTAGTCTATGACCACATGGCTAATGGTAGCTTGTCCACACTATTACACGGTATTCCACCTCCTAAAAGATAATTTATGTGAAATAGGATAAAGTTATTGCTAATGCAGAAGATTCAGGGCAAAAGACATAAAAAATGCATAATTAAAAGAGTTAGCATTGTACCCTTGAAATGGTGAGTCTTACTTCAAACAAGCATCACAGATCATTGAAATAATTATGTTAACATATAGAAATGCATGTTCTGGTTAAGCTGTAGTTGATTCACCATCCCAGATATGCACTGAATTACTATAGAAGCTGGTCCAAGCAGATTGTGGTTACATAGTGCATGCAAAATAATGAATTTAACCTTCGAGAGTGGATGTGGTAATTCATTATCATTAACTTGAAAGCAATTTTTGGCATATCTGGTTTCGTCAAGAATTCACCAGCATGTTTATCCTGAAATTTGCAGGAAACAGGGAGTCTGGAATAACACTTGATTGGGAATCGAGATTGAAAATTTCTTTTGGAGCAGCAAAGGGAGTTGCACATATTCATTCGGTTGCTGTTGGGAAATTGACCCATGGAAATATTAAGTCTTCCAATGTTCTCCTTAACCAAGACTTAAATGGCTGCGTCTCAGATTTTGGTCTTACTCCTCTCATGGGACTCCCCACGGTTCCATCAAGAAGTGCGGGATATCGAGCACCTGAAGCAATTGAAAATAAGAAATCCACCCAAAAGTCTGATGTCTACAGCTTTGGTGTTCTCCTCCTGGAATTGCTCACTGGTAAAGCTCCAGTTCAGTCACCTGGTCATGACGAAGTAGTAGATCTACCACGATGGGTCCAGTCTGTCGTGAGAGAAGAATGGACAGCAGAGGTTTTTGATGCCGATTTGATGAAGTATCAAAATATTGAAGAAGAAATGGTGCAAATGCTTCAGATTGCTATGGCATGTGTTGTGAAGGTGCCTGAGATGAGACCTACAATGGATGAAGTTGTTAGGATGATAGAGGACATCCGGCAATCTGATTCCGAGAACCGGCCATCATCAGGGAAGTCCGTGAGCCCGATTAGTCCAACAGTGTAAAGATTGCTGGTGTCAGTTGCCATAGTAATTCTTCTCTTTCCTCTTCACTGGAAAAAAAGTGTGTTCATAGTATTCAGATGTATGTTGCTATTACCTTAGAATGTGTCTGATTATTCACTTCTTTAGGATTCGTATCTCCACTGTCCACTTGTGCTTAACTCTTCAGAATCCATTTTAAAGTTCAGTCTATGCTTACCATTTACCAATCAATATACTCTCTTTAGACTTTCTGCACTTTCCATCAACATTGTTGCAGATAATTAATTTGAGACGGCTGAAATTACGTATAGCTTCATACACTTTGTTAGAATTTGGGTGTGACCCGAATTCCTTATTGAAATAATTGAAAAATTATAATTGAAGTGCACGTCAAGAGGAATTCAGTTTGGAATAGTATTAGAGTTTTATTCAAGTTGAAATTCTATTTGGAAGCCCTATTGAAAGTTGGAATTTGTATTGAACTTGAAAATATTGAAATTATGGATCCAGAAGAAAAGTCGTTGCATTTTCATTAGCCTACCGCTAGAGCAACAACTACAAGTGTTCTCCCGAAACTTGGTCGCTCGCTTGTCGCCTGCTTGGTGCGCGAGTGACGGACATGTCTCTAGCTTATTGCTCGAGCAATAGGGATATCCGGCTCAGGCCCTTTTCGCGTTTTAACATGTTTCTTGGCATTCTACTTCGACTGCAATTCATTTAGTAGAGTATGGACGTCCCCTACATGTTCCCTATAAATATTAGACTCTTCTATACAATTTTATAAGTGTGTGGGAAAAGTGATTACTAACTTTTAGGATCATTGTAATATTTCTCCATTTTCATTATTTGTGGCGTAATAAAATTTCCTAAGTCCTCTGCCATATTTTATTGTCTTCTTTTATTCTTTTACTTGCGATCATATACTTCATATTTTGCTATATAACTTAAACATCTTAATCTGGTGGTTGGTTTCATATCAAGTGGTATCGAGCAATGCGTGATCCTTAAATTCTCAACAATTGGTATCAGAAATTTTGGGCATAATTAACACAACAAATAGTATCAGAGACTAGGTTCAGCAGTTCCGCAAGAGCACATTGTTTGATTTGTTCGAGGTTTTTGTTCATGATGGCTTCCATAAAGTATGACATCCAACTTTTGGATTGGAGCACTAGATTTTCGCTATGACATGTTAAGAATTTGTGTGCAATACTCGCACATCAGGCTTTGGATGATGCGTTGTTGGAAATTGACAAGATGCCCGCGAAGGAGAAATTACGGAAGGATAAGAAAATAGTTTCTCACATTCATCTTCATCTATCGTACACCATTCTCCAGGACTTTTTGAATGAGGGTTCAAAGGCTGCTTTATGGTTGAACTTGGAGTAATTGTACATGACTAAAAGTTTGACAAGCAAGTTGCATCTCAAGCAGCGTTTATACTCTCATCGAATGACAGAAGGAGGATCATTGAAAGATCATCTGACTGCATTTAAGGAGATAATTGTTGATTTGGAAACTTTGGAAGTAAAGCATGATGAAGAAGATTTGGCCTTAATCCTATTGTGTTTGTTGTCCGCTTCGTTTTCTTCATTTAGAGACACGATCTTATATAGTCGTGATACTCTCACCATAGAGGAGATGTATGATGCTTTGTTTTCAAAAGAGATGATAAAACGTCTGGTGTCTGAGGCTAGAGATGGAGAAGGCCTTGTTGTTCATGGTGATTCTGGAAGGGACAGATCGAAGTCTAAGTTCAGTAATCAAATTTGTAACTTTTGCAAAAAGAAGGGACACGTGAGGAATGATTGCTACAAATTGTAGAATAAAGAAATGTTGGTTGCAAGTCGATATGGGAAGCAATCAAAGACTTCAGGTGAAGCAGACCTCCCATAAAACATTGTAAATGAGGGAGATCTCTTGGCTATTTCTGACATCAAGTCTAAACCAGAGGATTATTGGATTCTGGCTTCAACGTACGTGTTTCATATGTGTCTTAATAAGGACTTGTTTACTGCATATGAAATTGTTTCCAAAGGTGTC